ATGTCTTTTATTTTAATTCCAGGTCTTAAATAAACATGTAAACTAAGCAAAAAATGCTGTAACAATGAAATTTAAAAGGATTACATTGTCTTCTATACATGTTAATGCTGACTTTGTGACACATAATTAGAATTCTAATATTTATATATATTAGAATACTAATTTATTGGTATTGCTGCACATTGCAGCACCTTTGTGTTACTGATTTCATCATTTGATTTAGGTGCAAATGAAATTCTGTAACTTTAGCTCTATTGTTTGCATTGTAACCACCTGTACATCTACTGCTTTGCTAATCATCTGCTTTATTGTCCAATTACGTCTTCTGTACAAATATATAATTTGTCCCAAATTAAACCGTTTGTCAGGCATCAAGTGTTCTATCAAATATCTATCGTATATCAACTCTTTATATGTTACGTCTATCGTATGTCATCTGTAGATTTTATGCCTGAATTCATTATGTTACTTTTTGGCATTTCTTTGCTTGTCCTTACCTGAGTTCTGTCTGAATCCATGATGTTCTTTTGTTCTTTTGCTGTAGGTGTCAGTTGGCACGGTGCAGTTGTGGGTGTCTGGGATTCTGGCCATCTTGCGCGTGTTGATCTCCCAGTCAACAGAGGACATCATTCTGTGTCGCATTCAGGAGCTGTCTCTGTCTCCGTACCTTCTGTCCTGTTCCGCCATCTGCCATCTTCACAACAACGATTCTTCTTCTCCGACTGCCCCGCCCACTGCTGATGTAGAGACCAGTGGAGATCCACAGCGCTTTCTGCCTGAAGAGACATTCGCCAGGTGAGACTGCTTTTTTTTTTTTCTAAGAAAACTTTTTTTTTTGGAGAATGTTTGAAAAACGCCTCTCATTTTCCTTCATCTCCCCCCTTCTCTCTCTCGCTCTCTCAGATTTCTTCTGCAGTTAGTAGGTGTGTTGTTGGATGAAATCTCCAGTAAGCAGGTGAAAGTGGATATGACTGAGCAGCAACACACATTCTACTGCCAGCAGTTGGGCACGCTCCTTATGTGTCTCATCCACATCTTCAAATCGGGTATATAATGAGCTCATATCTTATTCACATTTTTCAATTCCCTGTTTCATATTTGACTTGTTCTGTATTGCAAGGCAAGATCTGTCCAGCAGTCATCGCTTGCATCATTTTGTACATGTTGTGTTCAGGAATGTTCCGGCGCATCACGGCTGCAGGCAGCCGGCTGCTGAAGGTGGAGGGGGCCGAGGTGGGAAATTTCTACACCCTGGAAGGGCTTAATGGCCTGGTGGTGCAGCTCATCACCACACACCCCTCACTGGTGCTTCTCTGGTGCCAGGTGCTTCTTATCATCAACTACACTAACTACACCTGGTGGTCCGAAGTGCACCAAACCCCCAGGTATGCTGATCTTTCAAATACATTTTAAATACAGATTAATTTGGTTATAGGTTACAAAAATTGAGCAAATCTATCTGTGTAAGTCCTTGAGTTACCCATAATTTCTAAATCCTTTTTTGTCTCTAGGAGACACAGTTTATCCAGCACTAAGTTGCTGAGCCCTCACTCGTCTGGAGAGGATGAGGAGCAGAGGCCTGAGGGAAAGCAGGCCATGTGTAACAGAGAGATTGTTCGCAGAGGAGCGCTTATTCTCTTCTGTGACTATGTGGTGAGACTTATGTGACTGAGTTTTATAGCTTGAGGCAGTTTAAGGGTCCTTCCTCATCAAGTTAGTCATTTGTTGTGTCTGAAATCAAAAAAGTGTAGGGCCGGAAACATACTCATAAAACTATTTCATTCACTGATGAGAAATACGGTAGCACAAAAGCTAAATAAAACTTTAATAAAACATCACCCAAGCACAGGGGACACGGAGCTGGTACTAAATAAATAGTATTAATTAGTTTACAGAATTTGTCATCCAGTGTTTATTTTCTCTTTTTGTCTGTTGTTCCAAGCTTCCCCCTTCTTCCTTTCCTCAAATAAACTGGTGTAATTTTTAATTGTCATATAATCTGCATTATTTTCTATGACATAGTAACGCTTATTAGTTGTCTTAGTATGTTAAATTACTTAAATTTAGTTTTTTAAATGATTTTTTCCTGCCTTTTTTTTTTTTTTTTTAAACCTGTTTCTTAAAAGGATTCTGCAAAAACCACTGTAATGACAACTTTTACACATTAACCACTTTAAATCATTTAAGGGAAACTCATTTTATCATAAACAACATGGGTTAATTCAGACAGTAGTAGTATCTAGCAGCTTGAGTTGTACAGTTTTTAACTTTAAAATATAGTGTAATGTAACTTTATTTCTTCTTCAGTCTTTTTCTCTGAGTTTTTCTTTCACACTCAATTCCTCTACATTCTTATTGCTAATCGTCTCACTTAGACTCTATAACCCCACTTACTCATCAATTCTCTCTCCCGGTGTATCTCAGTGTCAGAATCTGCATGATTCGGAACATCTGACGTGGCTGACGGTGAACCATGTGAGGGATTTGATCAGTCTGTCGCATGAACCGCCCGTGCAGGACTTCATCAGTGCAGTGCATCGCAATTCTGCAGCCAGCGGCCTCTTCATTCAGGCCATCCAGTCCCGCTGTGACAATCTCTCCACTGTACGTCACACGTAAACACACACCCCACAGCCAGTTACCTCTTTATTTAAGTTGTCCTATCTTTATCCATTAAGTGTGGTAGTGAGACTTTCCAGTGTTTTCTGCTGTGCTCAAAAACACACCCAGTAATGAGCATTCTTTCTCTCTCTCTCGCACTCTCTTTATATACTCCCTCTGTTTCTGTGTAGCCGGTGATGCTGAAGAAGACTCTGCAGTGTCTGGAGGGAATTCACCTCAGCCAGTCCGGAGCTCTGCTCATGCTATATGTGGACAAGTTGTTGAACACACCCTTCCGTGTGCTGGCCCGCATGGTAGACACACTTGCCTGCAGACGAGTGGAAATGCTGCTTGCTGAGACTTTACAGGTCTCTCACTCACACACACACACACACACACACACACACACACACACACACACACACACACACACACGCCTGATATCATATACAGCAGTTTAAATGATAATTTTATACTTTGGAACATGGACGCAAATGCCATGGGAGAAAGTTCATAAATATTTGATAGTGTATATTTTTGTAAATGTGTTTAGTATGTTGAGCTTTACAGCAAAAAAGCAAAGAACTTGATATTATTTATCGTAGGCTATATTCTTGAAGGCAAAAGCAGTCAAAATCTGATTTATCCTCATATGTGATGCAGGTTTGTCTTTTTCTCTGAGTGTGAACAGCAAAATTCACATTGAATCTGACATTTTAAAAATTTGGGCTACTTTCATATGTGGTCCTGAAATCCAGTACAGATCATGTATGTGGCAAGACAACCTCAATCTGAACAGGCTTTGTCCTAATTTTGGCTAAAGTGTTGTGTCAAATCACACAATATTTATGTACGTTGACTTGAGTCATTGCTCCATTGTTACCTTAGCAATGAGCTCCACGCTGGTTAGATATTATAGACTGCTTTTCAGTACAGTAAACGTGTTTCAGATATTAAATTCTCAGAGGATGTGATCTCCTGTCAAGAACTATTACTGCACTGTTACCCCCTACTTAAAAACAGTGATGCAGCAGCGCTTTAGTCCTTTAGTCTGTCCAGCTCTCTCATCTCCTCATCTCTATACTCTGCCTCAAACAAAGTGAAGTTTTTCTTAACATCACTATTAATGTAATTCTGTTTTGTGGATCAGCAATGCTAACACTAATTACATGAATTACAAATAAAAGAAACAAGCTGATATTGATCTCTTTTCAGAATTGAGCATGTAGACTTGCAGTCTGAACGAAGCCATAGAAAATGCTGTTATATTTCCTGCGCTAAATGGAAAAATGCCACTTAGCAAGATGGGATTACAAGCTCTTACAGAAGAACCATGACTTATGTTTGTTTGTATGAAAACAATTTCCTTCTCTCTTTTTCCTCTGTAGAATAGCATAGCTCAGTTGCCAGTGGAAGAGCTGGACAGGATCCAACAGTACCTCCAGACCAGTGGCCTTGCTCAGAGGTAATTCTACGTTTTGTGATTTCCTGTGGTGTTAAGTGTTGTGCACTTAATTATTCATTTACTGTAGTGTGAGACTCATGTAGATGGAAGTGAGCTCTGCTGTTAACCTTTTTTTGCTTTCTTCTTCACAGGCATCAGAGGTTCTACTCCCTGTTGGACAGGTTTAGAGCCATGGTTGCAGAGGAAACCACAAGCCCCTCCCCTCCCATTACATCACACCCGCTGGACGGGAATCCGCCCCCTGCCCCAGAGAGTGTCACGGCCAGTAAGGTGAGATTCATCACAGGGTTCATAACACTGACCTGATATGATGTTTTATTGTCTTTTTGTGTATTTTTATACCACAGCACTGTTGAATTCTCAAATCTGATTGGACAGAAGGTGTTTATTCATTTTCTATAATATCAGCCCTGACAATACTACAGGCCATAATTCAAATTATAGGTTTATATTAATGCACTCATTCTAATACCTTATCATTTCTGTAGCAGCAGCTTGTTCACAGGGACTTGTATGGTGGACACGCTACGTAAACTAGAAATAAGTGGATCTAACAAAAACGTGTTAGTTAACAAAGACATGTAATTTTTAACATCGTGAAGCTTTCTTTAAGGAGACGTTTATTTAACATTCACGGAAGGAGTCTCCACTATCAGAGCTGTAACAGTCAGTAAGTTTCCACCATGAGAGAGTCTTCAGGACAGAGGACTTTGTGCGTTCCAATTTCTCCATAAGAGCAGTTTATATCTGTTATAACGTGAGTGGAAACAGGAACAAATTTCCTTCATGGATGTTCCACATCATTAGATATAACATTTAACTCTATGGGATGAAAGTGTGTATTTTACATTCACATTTATGGCATTTTGGCAGACGCCCTTATCCAGAGCGACTTACATTTATCTCATTTACTCAAGCGTCCAGCAGTGGCTGATGGGCCAGCTGGGGTTTGAACTCATGGTCTTCCAATCAGTAGTCCAATGTCTTAACCACTGAGCTACTACTGCCACTATTTCTTTAATTACATAAAAATTTAAATTTTTAAGAAATAACTGTGGTATCAGAGGAACAAAACACTTCGGCACACTTCGGCACACTCCGCTTCACGTTAGGCCGCATCACACCACCCTGTCGTCGATCATTACTTTTCTATAACAGCTGGTCCCAAGTGTTTTATTCCTTGTATAACACATATAGTACATAATTATGAGTGTGTGTGTGTGCTTGTATGGCTTGTGTGTTACAGGAATGGTATGTTGCTCTGGTGAAATCCCAGTGTTGTGTGAGAGGTGAAGGATCTCTATATGAGACAACTGACCTGCTAACCAAACTACCCCAGTCTGACTTAACCGCCATCATGTCCTGCAAGGTACTCATCAGAAACCTGTATAAGGAATACGTTGATGCTCATGTTTGAAGTTACCTGTACAGGAACAAGTAAAAAGTAGCTTAGCAGCTTTAGTACTGGTTTTTTATTTTTTATTTTTTATTTTTTATTTTATTTTTATTTTTTTTAACAGTACATTTCAGGGTACTATAGTATCTCTGGTACTGACTTGGTACCTCAGTTCTGGTTCCATACCCTCTTCAGTCCTTCTGTTTGTGTCTCTGTGTCAGGACTTTAATCTGTGCCTGCTGGCTCCATGTTTGAGTGTTGGTCTGCAGAGGCTGTGCAGAGATCAGGGAGCGGTTCTTTTTGAGACCACACTCCAGGTGATTTTTGAGCAGTTGGCAAGCATCACAGCACTGCTCCCCTCCCCTCATCAGCCACTCCTCCTCTCCTCACAACCCAACATGGACTCTTCTTACTGGAATGCACTTAGCAGTGTATATGGTGAGTGTTCCAGCTTGTAAATGGCCCTGTTTATACATGGTGTTAACATCCGAGATTTATAGATGCTCAGACCTGGTATTTTCATGGGTTTCAAATGTGTCTCCACTGACCACTTGTGATCTGGTTTTTTGACTAGCTGCCATTTCTGTTTTCTATAGCCCAATATCTACGGTTTAGCTGTAGCATTTATGATTTTTCGCCTCTTCCTATGGTGATACAGGAGACACCTGAAACCTATGCTTTTTTTTTTTTTTTTTCTTAGCGGTCATGCCAAATGCAGATAAAATTTGCTAGGTGGAAAATCCAGTTCACTGAAGGTCACATGTGGGCCCTGAAAGAGGCATGTGCTTCTTACATGTGTTTTTCATATTGTGACGACTTTAGCTAAGTGAACTTTGACTTATGAATTTATGAGCCATGAACCTATTGCTGCTTTGTGTCTCAAATTATTTATCCGTATATGGATAAATAATTTGAGAGGAGTTTTTTTTTTTTTTTTTTTTTGTGGTAAAATTCTGTTTTTAATCTGAGTCTGCTAGGATTTTCTTGTCAGCCTCTGTTGCTAGAAGAAGAGTAGTGTTTATTATTTATGATGTTACATTTTACTTCTATTAATAGTGTATGCCTATGCCAATATGTTGCAGGTGAGGCAGGATTTTACCAGAAAGTGATGAGTGTGTGTAGTGCATTGAGTCGGTACCTTCTGTCTCTGCCCAAGCTGCCTTCGGCTCTACAGATCCCTCCTGCCACAGAGCACCTGATCACCTCCTTCACCACCCTGGTCATAGAGGTATACACACACACACAATTTGCATAAGAGTATCCAGTGAATGGCCTTCCAGAATCATTAATTATATATCAAATAAAATCAATGTTGGCCCACACTGAAAGTTAAAAGCAAGTTGTTTCTGGTTTGATGAGTGCATGTAACTAAAACATAAATCAAAATCTAAAAACAGATCACCTAGAGCTAGGCAATATAACAATATAGTATCGATATCGTAATATTATATAATTATTGATTTAAATTATGTGACAAGACACTATTCTGTGATGTTGGTATCGTGATTTCTTGACATTTTAAAAATGCGTGTGTGTGTGTATATGTATATATATTTTATTTATATATATATATATATATATATATATATATATATATATATATATATCATTAAATTATTGTTTTTAAAATTTTTCCCTCCTTTTCATTGTTGATTTATTTTTGTAGTCACAATTTTTTAAAGGTTTATTTTTTTTTAATTGCAGCACTACAGTTTTCCTGGCTACAGTTTGTGTTGTATTGTATTGTAGAAATGTCTTGTGATATTTTTGACATATTGCCCACCTCCACGTCAACTCTTGGTCACTTCTTTACCCTCTTCGGTCTATTAATGATGTTAATTTTGTAGGTTCAGTAATGTTAGCATTAAAAAGTGCACCTATCTTTGGATGCAGACTTACATTCCTCACTCATTTATCTATGTGCATTTGTTTTCATACTCAGTTCTTCATAGTAGTTTGTTCTAGGGTTGGTAACCGAATAAAAAGAAAGTGTAATTGTGATACTCATTATTGCTGGCAAATAATTATTTTGTTATTACTCATAGTCTGTGGTTGGTGATCCATCCTTTTTCTCTATCTGACCCCCAGTAAGAAAATCTGGACATCCTGACACTCTCTCTTTCTGTCTGTAGTTGGTGACATGGCGTTTGCTACAGGACCAGTTACCTCTTAGTGTAGATGTGCAGATGAGTGTGTCTTGCCTGTGTTTGGCCCTGCAGCAACCATCAGTGTGGGCAGACTTTGCCTCTCGAACCTACCTCACTCACACCTGCTCCATTATCCACTGCATCCACCTGCTAATCTACGCAGGTATTTATGAGTAGAATGTTGGCAAACTTCAAACATGTACGTAACTAGTTATATAGAATGTATGAAACTGAAGGGTTTGTTTTGGGTGCGTATTTCATGCAGTCACAGTTGGTCCAGGTGATCAACTGGTAAGGCCTGAGAGAAAGACACATGCTGACCGAGACTCTGAGGAGGACCAGGTGGATTCAGCAAAAGGCAGTGAGCTTTACATACACACGCGCACACACACATGCACACACTTAATGAGGCATATTCCAACAGAGCATACTTTGTGGACCCTAGTAATTACAAGTGAATAATCATAGTTTAAATGTTTGTTTACTTTTTTGTGCATATATTGAGACCGAATCATTATTGTGTGTATATGTATTTCAGATCTCTGTGAGCAGCAGTGTTGCGAGATCATGGCTGAGCTAGTAGAAAGCCTGCAGAGTGTTTTGGCTCTTGGTCACCACAGAAACAGCAATATCCCAGCATTCCTTACTCCTACCCTTAGGAATGTCATCATCAGTCTGGCCAGGCTGCCTCTTGTCAACAGCTACACACGCATCCCACCACTGGTGAGTGGAAATATAGTTGGGCAGCATATAGCCATATTTTTATATCATTTTATCACTATCTTTCAAAATTTTCTTTCAAATATCTTTCAAAAATTTGGATACAAAAATACGAAACTATTTTGTAAACCTGGAACTGAAATGGACTGAAATGGGATTATGTATCATGAATCTACACAAAACAGCCCATAATATCGGAGTGGGGGAAAAATCAATAGTTACAAATAAAAAAAATATATAATTTCTGTAATTCCAGAAATTATTGACACTCATTAATGTGTAACCTCTAAAACGGTTGCCATCAGAAGCTACCTAATTCATAAGGCCAAAGATGCTATCAAAACAAATCTGGGACATAGTATCAGTCTGGTCTGGTTATTAAAAAAAAAAAACTTTGAAAATCCCGTGAAACGCCATTAAAACCGCTTTTAAAAATGGTAAAGAAAATATCATTATGGCAACTCTGACTAGATCTCAACGTGATGCTACCGCCACCATGCTTCACTGTATAGACGATATTATCAGGGTGATGAGCAGTTTTGGGTTTCTGCTAATCACTAAAACATAAGCCAGCCTTAAAGGACCTGGGTTGCCTACTCTCCTGTCTCGTATTCCCGATTCTCATTTATGCGTACTGTGTATGTATATATATCTCACACCACTGATGTGTAATATGTTAATAATCAAATGTGAGCCTTTGTGTGCGTCATAGGTCTGGAAGCTGGGCTGGTCCCCCAGACGTGGTGGGGAGTTTGGCACAGCATTGCCTGAGATTCCTGTCGAGTTCCTGCAAGAGAAAGATGTCTTCAGAGAATTCCTCTACCGCATTAATGTTCTCGGTACAAAAGAGGCAGATATGTTTGTGGTGTGATTACATGCTTATGATATTAAAAGCTTGTTTCATGTGATGGTTGGTGTGTTTTGGTGTGTGTCTGATACAGGCTGGAGCAGTAGGACTCAGTTTGAGGAGACTTGGGCCACTCTGTTAGGGGTGCTGGTCACCCAACCAATCACAATCGATCAAGAGGAGGAGACTCAGCAAGAGGTGACGGCATCGAGCGCACACTGAACTATTTGCTACTTCACTTGATTCCATCCTGATCCAGCTGATCCTAATACTGAAAAATGTATTATGTGTATTAGGAGGATCTGGAGCGGACGCAGATCAATGTGTTGGCGGTGCAGGCCATCACCTCCCTGGTGCTGAGCGCCATGACTCTGCCTACAGCCGGGAACCCTGCAGTCAGCTGCCTGGAACAGCAGCCGCGCAACAAGAGCCTCAAAGCATTAGACACCAGGTGCATTTCCTTTTACAGTGATTGAGGTTAAACTTCTAAACTACCGAACAGAAGATCAGATCCCAGGACTGCAAGAGTGAAATTGTTAGGGCTTTATCACTGCTCTTAAGACTTACTTATTCAGTTATTCACTGCATTATGTGCCGTCTTTACTGTAAATGACTTTTGAAACCCAAAAACCTAACTGACTAGGCTAAAGGGTTGTAGCTAATTAAGTAGTTAGCTAGTTAAGTGTAATATGGACTAAGGGAAACAAAGGGAAAATGCTTTTTTTTTCTCCTTGCATCAGACCTAAAAGATGTTATTCAAGTCTGCCTAGCCTATTTGTTTAAGTGATAGATTTACTGTGTTTTGCCACATACCTGTGTGTTACTTATTCTGAAAAGGTCATCTGTTATCCATGCACATTATTTAATCCATCTAATAAAAACTGTACCTCAGCTGAT